AGGATGAGGAGGAAAGGAGGAGGAGGAGGAGGATGAGGATGAGGAGGAGGAGGAAGGGGGGGGGGTGGGGGGGGGTGGGAGGAGGAGGAGAGGGTGGGGGAGGGGGAGGATGAAAGGAGGAGGAGGAGGGAGTAGGAGTAGGCAGGATGAGAAGGAATACGGATGCGCACGCTCGTTCGACGGTCGTGAGATATACAGCGACCACGAATGCCTCGACCGTGAGGGCGAGCAATGGCTGAAGAAGTGTGGGTGGGTGGGGCGTAGGCTGAGAAGTGTGGGTGGGTGGGGGCGGTGGTGGGTGGGTGGGGGGGGGGGGGCGAGCGCGGGGGCAGAGTGTGAGTGGCGAGTGCTACGTGCGAGCGTGGGCGTAGAGTGCCGAGGTCGAGTGTGGGGGGCGAGTGCGTTGGCCGAATGCGAACGGCGAGTGCGGAGTGCGAGTGTGGGGCGCGAGTGTGTGCGCGTATAGCGTGGGCGTAGGGTGCGGGGGTCGAGCGCGGGGGGCGAGCGCGGGGGCCGAACTCGAGGGGCGAGTGTGGAGTGCGAGTGTGGGGCGCGAGTGCGTGCGTAGAGCGTGGGCGTAGAGCGTGGGCGTAGAGCGCGGGGGTCGAGCGTGGGTGGCGAGTGTGGGGGCTGCGTGCGAGGGGCGAGTGTGGAGTGCGAGTGTGGGGCGCGAGCGTGCGCTTAGAGCGCGGGCGTAGAGCGCGGGGGCCGAGTGCGGGGGGCGAGCGCAGGGGCCGAGCGCGAGGGGCGAGTGTGAAGTGCGAGTGTGGGTCGCGGGTGTGTGCGTAGAGCGCGGGCGTAGAGTGCGGGGGCCGAGTGGGGGGGGCCGAGTGCGAGTGCGAGTATGGATGCGAGTGTGGGGTTCGATGTGCGCGTACAGCGTGGGCGTAGAGTGCGGGGGTAGAGTGGGGGGGGTGCGAGTGCGGGGGCCGAGTGCGAGGGGCGAGTGTGGAGTGCGAGTGTGGGGCGCGAGTGTGTGCGTAGAGTGTTGGCGTAGAGTGCGGGGGCAGTGTGCGGGGGTCCTGTGCGGGGGCCGAGTGCGAGGGGCGAGTGTGGGGTGCGAGTGTGGGGCGCGAGTGTGTGCGTAGAGTGCGGGCGTAGAGTGCGGGGGCCGAATGCGGGGGTCGAGTGTGGGGGCCGAGTGCGAGGGGCGAGTGTGGAGTGCGAGTGTGGGGTGCGGGTGTGTGCGTAGAGCGTGGGCGTAGAGTGCGGGGGTCGAGTGCGGGGGTCGAGTGCGAGAGGCGAATGTGGAGTGCGAGTGTGGGGTGCGAGTGTGTGCGCAAGGCGTGGGCGTGGAGTGCGGGGGCAGAGCGCGGGGGTCGAGTGCGGGGGCCGAGCGCGAGGGGCGAGTGTGGAGTGCGAGTGTGGGGTGCGGGTGTGTGCGTAGAGCGTGGGCGTAGACTGCGGGGGCCGAGTTCGGGGGTCGAGTACGGGGGCCGAGCGCAAGGGGCGAGTGGGGCGTGCGAGTGTAGGGCGCGAGTGTGTGCGTCAAGTGCGGGCGCTAGTGTGGGCGTCGAGTGCGGTGCGTTTCGGGCCCCCACTTAGTGCTGCCCCCCCAGACATACCCAAGCAACGAGACATGGCGGGAGGCTACCGAGGAACAGTTTGTATTGGAGAGTGGTCATGTTTTCTGTGGCTGGAGGCGCTCCAGGGAAAGAAAGGGGTGGCGATTTTATTGCATTCGCGATGGTAGTCTCCAATGCTTTCTTTTACGGCGCTCTCGGGCCGTGTTTGCTGGATGGACGTGGTTTTCGGCGTCAGTCGCATGCGAATCGTGCCTGTTTACTTGCCAAATGCTTTCTTGCCAGACGCAGAGGTGGAGGTCGTGCGCAATGCTCTGTCCAAGTGCAAAGCTGACGCAGACAAAAACAAGTTTTTATATACTGTTGGTGGGGATTGGAACGCTGTGATTGGAGCTCAAGCAGATTATCTGGCTGATTATTGCGTGGGCGAGCGCGGGGTAGGACAAGCAAATGGCCGGGGCTTATGGGGGGCATCTTGGGCCTGGTCTGAGCGCGCGGCAGTGGCCAGCGCGTTTTTCCCAAAACAGTTTGACCAAGAGTGGACACATCCACGCAGGATTTCGTCGTCAAATTGATTACTTCTGCATTGGCACGGGCGCTCTGGATATGATCGCAGACAGAGGCCACTTATGACATCAACGTCGGATCCGACCGCGGATCTGCATCTCTGAGACTCCGAGCTCGCACGGGCGATTAGCGAAGCAAGCCAGAGCCCAGTGGAAGACGATGGCCACCTTCATCTGCAAGCTTGTTCTCCGAGACCGTTGAAAGCAACGTCGAAGAAAACCGCCCCGACCGTCCCACGCAGAAGACGTATGTCACAGCATTGAGCGTTCGCTTGTGCAATCACTGGCAGGTGCTTGCGTGCAGCCCGAGCAAGCCAAGAGCAAGCTTGGGCGTTGGAATGCGGAGATTCGCAGGCTAATTGCTGAGAGGCGAAGAGCACGACGCGAAGCCACAGAGGCGCAGCATCGGCCAGCGAAGGTGATCAGCAAGGAGTTGCAGAAGGAACTGCTGAAGTTTGAACGGACACAGAAGCAAAAGGACATCGGCAATATTTTCTGGACTTTCCGCGGCCTTCGGGACCCCCCGGCTTTCCACGCCAAGAGGCGAAGGCGCGGCTCGCCAGCGTGACTGACCACGAGGGGCGAGAGCAGACAGAAAGGCAAGCGATATATAATAAATGTCTTTGCTACGTTGTATGAGGACTTGCATTCGCAGCGGCACTGCCCTGGCCAGCCAGGCGAACCAGTTCAGCGCGCCCGGGTTTGCGCCGCGATTCTGCCCGTGCCGGCGCAGGAAGTGAGACGACGAGCCAAACGCTTCAAGAAGGGGAAGGCCGTTGACAGCGAAGGCGTAGTGGCAGAGATGGCATAGTGCGGGGGGCCTTTATTGATCGAGGCTATAACGGCGCTTGTCAACGATGTCCTGGCCGAAGAGAAGGAGCCGCCTGCGTCGTGGAAGCACTCCCGCGTCGCGGTGCTCCTCAAGAAGGGCGACCCGAAGCTGCCGCATAATTACCGACCAATATCAATTCTGCCAATAGTATACAAACTGTTCAGCATGGTTGTGCTTGAGCGGCTGCAGCCATATTTAGAAGCGCAGCAATCTGCCGACCAAGCCAGATTTCGCAGAGGATTTGCTTGCGAAAACCACCTTCTCACTCTGGTGCAATTGCATGGGAAATACAGGGAATTCGGCATGGACATTTGGGTCGCAGCGGTGGACTTCGGAATGGTTTTCGACTCCGTCTCGCGCAAGAGCCTCTGGGAAACTCTGCGCGCGCAACAAGTCCCAGAGCGATATGTTCGAGTCCTTTCGCGTCTGTGCGCAGGGCAGACGGCCCAGGCGTGCTCCGACTGCAATCGTCGAGTACATCGCCTCGAGAAAGGGGCGCGGCAGGGAGATCCGCTGAGTCCAGCGTTCAATTCCCCCCTGGAACATATCATGCGAGATCTGAAACACACTTGGCGCAAACATCGGCGTGGGCTACGCGTCGACGGCGCGGTCTTGACCGACCTTTGATTTGCCGACGACGTATTGCTGATAGGCTCAACGAAGGCAGACTTTCGACGCACGCTGTGCGACCTACAGTCAGTGGCCGGCGCGCGCGGGCTGAGGCTCCGCGCGGGCAAGACCAAGATTCTGTCGAAAGTCGAGGCCAGGAAGGGCGTTCTCAGGCAAGGAAGCGCGAAGGTGGGCGAGGCCTCATTGATGTATTGCCTTTTGCCGGGGCCACAATGCACCTGGGAAGATTGGTCTCTTTCTGGGACATTCAAGGCGCGGAGATGCAGCATCGGATCTCTCGCGGGTGGGCAGCCTTCGGGAAGTGCAAGCACGAGCTGGCGAATATCCACTACCGGCTCAGGTGCAGGATGCGCCTGTTCAGCGCCGTGATCACACCGACCGTACTATGCGGCAGTGGTCGCTGGACCATGACCCCAGAGAGGGTGAAGCGGCTCCAGGCGGCAGAAAGACGGATGTTGCGGAAGATCATTCCCACGCGGCGGATTCAACATGAGCTCGCGGATGTGGGCGCAGAGCCAGGACCATGAGTGGATTGGATTGCCCGCGCAACGCGTCGGGCTGAGGACACGCCCCGGCGAGCTGGATACCGCAGTTGGGTTGATCGGCAGCAGTTCAGGAAACAGGCGTTGACAGAGAAAACGGAGAGTCGCACCGACGGGCGGTGGTCGACCAAGCTTCTGAGTTGGACCCCTGAGGGCACCCGCCTGCCCCGCCGTCTATGCAAACGCTTCAGCGAGCGATTGAGCTTGATGCCTTCTTTCCCCCACTGCCAATGTGCGCGTGCAGTATCTCACTGCGCAACAACCGCCAGGGTGAGGTTTTGTTTCGGAATGAGAGATGGTGCCGCTCCTGTTGTCGCTCGTCACTTGCAGGCCCCAGGCGATTCCTGATTTCACCACGACGAAGGATTCTTGCACATTTGCTTTTCCAGCGAGCCCGACCGCCCTCCAGGGGCCCGGGCGCGGGCGACCCCCGCACCGCTGCTTCCGCTTCGCTCTCCTGAGCTGCTACTGCTCTTTGGGCGCCGCCGTTGTTCGCAGCCACAGCGCTCGTTGTGGTGCTGCTGACGGCTGCCGTCATTGTGGTCGCTGTTCGGCTCGTTGCGCCAGTGCTATTGTTCGCGGTGCTGGTGATCACGCTCGTCATGGTCGCCGCGCTGCTTGTCGCAGTCGTCATGATCGTAGCGGTTCTGCTTGTTGCGCCTGTGCCGCTGCGCGCGGTGTCTTTGCCAGTGCCGCCGCTGAGTCTGGCCTGTGGTCCCGTCTCCTTGCTGTCCACCCCCGCTTTTTCATTGCTTTACTCGTTATGCTGCCTCCTCTTTCTCCTACTTTTCTTCTCGCTCCTCCATCATGTCCCATGTCCTCCTCCTTCATCTTCTCCTTCATTAATTTTTCCTTTTCCTACGTCGCCCCCATCCTCAGCATCCTTCCCTCCTCCGCTTCCTGCCAGGAAGGCCCGGGAGACGGCGGAAGACAGCAACAAGGACCACAAGCCGAAGTTTATCCAGCCCCAGAAGGAGGGCTGTTGGGCCTGGAGGTGGAGGGGAAGTAGTAAGAGGAGGATGAGGATCAGCAGGGGTAGGAGTTGGAGGAGGCCCGGGAGGAGGCCAGGGAATACGCATCGAAGGGCGAGAATCGAGGCTTTTGAGTATTACCCAACCCTGACGCGTTGTAGACTGGTTTTGGATAAAGCAGTGCTGCTCCCATCCTTCCCTTCTCCCCTCCTCGCGCCTACTCTCCTTCTCGTTAATTCTTCGTTTCTTTTTTTTTATTCTGCGATTTCGCTTCGCCTCTTCCTGGCTTTTCCTCCCTGGCTCCCCATGTGCTGCCAGCTGCCCACCTGACGTGTCTTTCGTGAGCTCCAGGGACGTCCAGCGGAGTGACGTTTGACCCAGACCTCAAGGGGGCCTTCGCGTCCTTGGTGACCCCGCCTCGCTGGGCGTTGCCAGCTGCAAAGTTGTCGGCACTATTGTGAGTTCCGAGGGGGTCCAGCGGAGTGCGGTCTTACGCAGACCAAGCGAGACCTCGCCCTCCCTGCGTGCTGCCAACTGCCATTATCTCGACACTTTCTGAACCCTTCGCTGACCCAGCGGACTGCAGTGCTACAGTCAACCCGCACAGTTTGTTGGTATGCCAGGCCGTCTATATGATCCTGGCATGACGAGCGAGCTGTCAGGGCGGCGCGTGCCCGAAGCCGTTTCGAGCCCGATTTATCTGAAAGGATGATCTACTCCCCAAGAGTGCGCTCGCATCCTTGCCTCTTCGGCCATCTTCGGCCCATCCTCACCCACTTTCAATGGCCAGCACCGCTCGAAGAGATCTGGGATGGGCGCGCCAGGCCCTTGCATCCTTACCGCGCGTCCTAATCATACGGGTAGACTCAATGTTGCAACTGCCGCCAGTTGCGTGAGCACCTGGGGGTCCAGCGGAGCGCGGTGCGAAGCGGACCCAGACTAGACATAAGTCGGGCACGTCCTTCCACAGGAGGAGTATTCAAAAGTTGTCGAAAAATGTGGTGGGGATGAGTTCTTTATTTTTTTTCATAATTTGCGACGTATGTTCGGACTCTGTTACAGTTGTCTTCCAACATCCGCCCGTAGGAGGACACGCCCGACCTGAAACCTAGACCCTCGCTGCTGGGGTGCTGCCGGCTGCGCTGTGGTCGCCACCTCCGTGGAGCTCCCAGACGGCCCAGCGGCGATGTGCGGGCGGGGGAGGGCCGAGCTCCCGGGGAGGGGAGGGCCGAGCTCGCGGGGGAGGGAGGGCCGAGCTCGCGAGGGAGCGGTGGTTCGAAGGGGGGGTCCTGAGGAGTGGGGGTCCTGAGGTTACGTCGGGCCTGTCCCTGCACAGGGGGAGTGCGCAAAAATCGTCAGCAGATCGTCCGGGGACGCTTTCTTGAGCATTTCTTGCTGTTTCAGGGTATGTTTTGCATATTTGTCCTGGGAAGGGCTGAAGTCGGTTGTTGCATGTATTCGGGTTTTTGCACAGTCGGGTTTTGACATTGATGCATCCGTGCGTACTGTTCACATGTTTAGGAGACATGTAAGATGGTGAAACAAGATGTAGGTGAAGTGATACAAGTTGTAGGATGTGAGTTGTAGGTTAATCGATACATGTTGGTAGGTGAAGTGAAACATATATTACGTGATACACGCTGCATGGTACAAGGTGCCGCATACCTGACACGCTGACGTAACCGCGCAATGTACATACACAATCAAATATTTTACAGCGTTATTTGCATGTTACGTGGTACATCAACGCACCCTGGCATGTATTCAGCCCATACGTTGTATAATACAAGTTACGTTACGTGCTACACATCTGCAATATTATATGTAGCATCGAATTGATAGTAATGATGATTTCCCATCCATGTCACGAAGTCGCCTCTTTCATTTGCCCTGCAGGCTTCCTGTTGTCGGAGATTCCTGTCTCGAGCCGTGCTGGCATCGCTGCCATGGACTCGTATTCGTCTTCAGGTCCACGGCTTTCACGTTCTGGAAGGCTTCTTGTCAGTTTGTTCAGAGCTCAGTGGGCCCCGGAAACGGCAGGGCCGTTTTTTCACCGTTTCCCCTAAAATGTCTTTTGAACATGGAAACGGCAAAAAACACGGCCACCGGAAACGGCAAAAAAACAGCCCCAGGATTGGGACAGGAGCCGGAAAAACGGCGACGGAACCGGTAAACAAACGGCGTCGGAACCGGCAACAAAAACGGCAAAACGGAACCGGTAAAAAACGGCCTTGTCGTTTCCAGGGCCCACTAAGGTTCAGAGCCGTGACGTTTGGGTCCTGCCGTTGCCAACATCACAATGCATCTGACGACATCACATCATCGTCGTCTTCTCGAGGATTGGAGCATTGTTTTTTCCGTTCTGTCTCACGAGCGACCCACAGGCCTCCAAGATCGGTCTCAAAGGGCCCTCCGAGGGTCCCCAGCTAGCTCCAGGAGGCCAGGAGTTCCCCGGGACTCCCGGGGAGGCGCCACGAGAGCTCTACGTTTAAGTCGGGCCTGTCCTTCTACAGGGGGCATATCCAAAAATACAAAAATAGTCCGGGGACCATTTGTTGACTATTTTTGAGTACTTCCAATTTTTCGCTCAAAATCCCCCTGTAGGGGGACAAGCCCGACTTACCTCTACGTCGGTCTCCAGAGTTCCAAGAAGGCCTTCCGCAGCCAATTTGATTCGAGTCGTTGGCATTCCGTTTTGCCCGCGCACGCAAACACCTTCCTTCATACATCAGTTTATACAGGACTTGCAGAACGTCCTCTCGCTCAGGTCGCTGCGATGCCGGCCGCTGGGAAGGCACAGTGGACCACATATGCGGTGGCGCTGCTCGTCCAGGGCGTCCCCAGCGTGACCGCCTTGGTGGTGCAGGTGTCGCCAGGAAGAAATCGGGCGTTGAGGCAAACGGGTCCGCGTGTTTTTCGCTTCACTTAACCCCCTGGGCACTCTTTGGAGCCTCGGGGCGATCAGACAGCGACTCGGGACCAGACGCGGATCCCGGGGCCCCGGGGTCCGGGGCTCGTTTCCTTCGGGACCCGCTTCTCTCGTGCAAGAGGTTGGCGATGGCGTCCACCGCGACATCTTCCAGCACAGCGCCTCGCGCACGACCGCCCACGCGCAGGTTGCGCCGCTCGACGGCGTCCTCGTGGACATCGGCGCTACGGAGTGCCCTGCCGGGTACAGGGTCATGACCGAGACCGAGTGTTCCCATGGCGTTCACGTCAACGGGGCGGATATCACGACTTATAGCCACAGCGGCTGCTACCATGACAACGGTGGTTGGCCGGCGCAGGGCTGCTTTCTTAACGCCGGGAGTTCTACAGCAACGGTTGGCTGGTTGTACTACAGCACCTGCACTGAATACAGCGCTTTGTCCAAGAACAACGCCTACGGCATCTGTACGGCGATTACGCCGCCCACAGCGAGCCCCACGCCCAGCCCCACGGCCAGCCCGACGCCGTATCCGACGGCCTTCCCAACAGCGTTTCCGACGCCTCACCCGACGGCCTTCCCGACAGCTTTCCCGACGCCGTACCCTACGGCCTTCCCGACGGCCGACCCGACGCCCAGCCCAACGGCCGACCCGACGCCGTATCCAACGGCCTTCCCGACGCCATACCCGACGGCCTTCCCGACGCCGTACCCTACGGCCTTCCCGACGCCGTACCCGACGGCCGATCCGACGCCACACCCGACGGCCTTCCCGACGCTGTATCCGACGGCCTTTCCGACGCCGTATCCGACGGCATTCCCGACAGCGTTTCCGACGCCATACCCGACGGCGTACCCGACACCCGACCCGACGGCCGATCCGACGTCTTACCCGACGGCCTTCCCGACGCCATACCCGACGGCCTTCCCGACGCCGTACCCGACGCCGTACCCGACTTCGTTCCCGACAGCGTTTCCGACGCCACACCCGACGGTCTTCCCGACGCCGTATCCGACGGCCTTCCCGACGCCATACCCGACGGCCTTCCCGACGCCGTACCCGACGGCCTTCCCGACGCCGTACCCGACGGCCGATCCGACGCCACACCCGACGACCTTCCCGACGATGTATCCGACGGCTTTCCCGACGCCGTATCCGACGGCCTTCCCGACAGCTTTCCCAACGCCGTACCCGACGGCCTTTCCGACAGCCGACCCGACGCCCGGCCCGACGGCGGACCCGACGTCTTACCCGACGTCCTTCCCGACGCCATACCCAACGGCCTTCCCGACGCCGTACCCGACGGCCTTCCCGACAGCGTTTCCGACGCCACACCCGACGGCTTTCCCGACGCTGTATCCGACGGCCTTCCCGACGCCGTACCCGACGGCCTTCCCGACAACGTTTCCGACTTTGTACCCGACGGCCTTCCCGACGCCGTACCCGACAGCCTCAAACCCTAAGGCCGTCCCGGCGTCAGTGTCGTCTGCAGTTGGCGATCCGCATTTGCAGAACATTCATGGTGAGCGGTTCGACCTGATGAAAACGGGCAGGCACGTCTTAATCCACATTCCACGAAAAAGCGTTACGAACACTCTGCTTCGTGTGGACGGGGACGTGCAAAGGCTGGGTGGGCAATGCGCTGACATTTATTTCCAAGAGCTGAACATCACAGGGTCGTGGGCGAATGCGAAACGCGCTGGCGGTTTCCACTACCGCGCTCAGGGCGTCGGCCAACGGCGCTCCCGCTGGGTCAAGTTCGGTACCGTCCAGGTGAAGGTCGCCCACGGGCGCACACAACAGGGCTTAAAGTATCTAAACCTCTACGTGAGGAACCTTGGCCGCGCCGGGTATCAAGTGGGGGGCTTACTCGGCGAAGATGATCACACCAAGGAAGCGATGGTGCCTGAGAGTTGCCACCATCGGGTCGCCTTGTAAACAAGGCGTTTCGGCAAATATTAGAATGCTGTGTTGAGCGGGGTGCATGGCTCCTGCTTCTGCTCCGCCGCTCCCTCATCGAAGACGCCTACCGGCGAATCCCCGCCGACCCCGCCTTTCAGAAACGCCCAGCTGCCGGAACGTTGTGTCCAGAGCTCGGCCAAGCCATCGGATCATGTGTTCCTCCAGCTGTCGTGAAAGCGCTTCGGGGAACACGTGGGGGAGAAAGAGGAGGAGGAGGAGGAGGAGGAGGAGGAGAAGAAGGAGGAAGAGGAGGAGGAGGAGCAGAGATTTCGTCGGGCCAGAAAAAAAAGCTTCGTTGTTCGGCGACTACAAAGGGTGTGCTTACGCCGGGGCGTGGTTTGCGATCGGCGTCGCGGGGGCCTGGGGGGCCCGACACTCTCGTGGGGCCATCTTAGACGTCTTGGAGGCATATTGGAGGCCATCTTCAGCGATCGTGGCCGTCTCTGGAGCGGGAAAACAGATACTCTGGGAAGTTCACGGGTCTGTTGGGGGCGCTTTGGAGGCTATTTTGAGGCCACTTGGAGCGGGGCGACATGAATTGTGCAGTTTATGGGTCCTGGGTGGCTGGATCGGCCGACGGTCCATTCACAACTCAAACAAAATTCAGTCGAAGGGCCCAGCCACATGCGGTTGTGAGAACCGCGTTGTGGCACCGCTTTCTGTGGAGCTCCCTCTGAGGCCACGAACCGTGCGAGTGGTGCGCCAAAGCGGAGCGGTGCCGCCATGCGAACTTTGCGATTGGGGCCTTCGGCGGACCTCCTTATGGGGCCACAGCGCGTGTGTGGAATGCGCCAAAATGGGGCGGCGCCGCCATGCGAACTGTTCTACTGGGGCCTTCGGTGGAGCTCCCTATGGGGCAACGGATCGTGTGAGAGGTGTGCCAACGTAAGGCGGTGCCGCCATGCGAACTTCGCCGCTGGGAGCCTCGGTGGAGCTCCTTATGGGGGGCCACTGCGTGTGCCGGGTGTGCTCAACTGGAGGGCGCCACCATGCGAACTTTGCCATTGTGGCCTTCCTTGGAGCTCACTCATTATGGGGCCACGAGAGTGCGAGGGGTGCGCCACAATGGGGCGGTGTCGCCATGCGGACTTTGCCACTGGGGCCTTCGGTGGAGCTCCCTAGGGGGCCACGAGCCGCGTGAGGGGCGCGCCGCGGAAGGGTGGTGCCGCCATGTGGACTTTTCCACGGGGGCCTTCGGGCTGAGCTCCCTATGGGGCCACGATGCGCGTAAGGAGGACGCCGGGACAGAGATCTGCGGAGGGTAGTCGCATGGATGGGAGGAGGACAGGCATGTGGAGGGCAGACACATACATGTCTCACTGTGCTGTCCCACTGTCCCCACTGTCCCCACCACTGACCCCCGTCCCCACTGTCCCCACCTTTCTCCCCATTGTCCCATTGCCCCACTGCCGTCCTCACTTGTGTGTGAAGTCCGTTCATATCATCATTCTCTCACTATGTACCGCTCACGTATTGGCGCAGGTATTGGTGTACGTATCGCGCTGCTCTCCACGCAACGCCCTGGCGAAGGAGTAGCTCACCCCTTCCTCTTTCACCTCTTCCAACGGACAATTGTATAGGGTCGACTCCTCGGTCGTATCCCTACACACAGTTTATCGGCCTACTAGTTTACGCTCTTCGCCGCTGCGCCTCGCGTCATCGTTGACCCCGCCGCATGGTTCTGCACCCCTCGGGGCGCAGTGCCTCTATGCGCACGGCGCCCTCGACGGCGCGTGGTCGCGGCGACACGACGCAGAGGGCGACTGAACCCGTGATACCCATTTCTCCCCCGACAAACAACGGCAGTTTTGCGTCGCTTGCGTGCTCTCGGCGACCTCTTACCCGAATCGCCGCTGCCGCCGCCCGCGCGCGCTCACACGCCTGGGAACTCTTATATTGTCTCGGCGCCTCATACATCGACTGGAGCTTTTCCTGGCGCCGCCTTTGGTTGTTCTCTGTGTGCCAGTAGGAACTCGTGCAGTTGGCGTCGGAACCACCGGTGGGTTCGCCACGCCTCCTTCTTCTCCAACTTCGCTGATGGGCGATGTGCCGGCGGGAACACCCGCAGCGGCGGCGCCAGCGAAACGTCTCCAGACAACGCTTTCGCGCGCCCCCGCCGCTGGGCCAAGGTCACATCACCCAGTGAGGTGCTTGTATCCGAGCATGTGCGTGTCGTGGAAAATCGCACTTGGCGGACATGTCAGCGAAAGGCTCCATAACGGTATCACATTCGCTCTCCCACTCGGGACAACAGCCGCAACCCGTCACAGAAGCGCTCACGACACAGTTCATTACCACGCGACATGGTATCGCGCGCCTCTCCCTCCGCCAATGATTTTGCAGAGCTTCGCGACCAGGTTGAAACTTACACAACCTAACAATTGTCGGGTTTGACTCCAGCACAATCCAAACGCTCCGCGGTTATCTTATCGGAATGGTGGCCCAACCTTGTGAGCGTCAGGGACGCAGGCGCTGCCGCCATTAGGGCGTTCCACGATGGGCTCCTGACGGCGCGGCAGATTCCGGCCGTGGAGGCGAATTTACCCCCGGACCAACACATGACGTGAGGACGTCAATACACTTTGCACCCAGGCAGAGATGACCACTGCCACAGTACATTCCCGACGTGCCACGCTCGCGTCTGAGTTGCGCGGCAAGCTTCGCGGTGCCCATAGTTATGGCCATTGCTCAACGTCTTGACGCTTCTGTGGGACGTGTGCCGACGCTTGGGAACCGAGGTCCACGGTCGAGCAGCCGTTTGATGCAATGGGGATTGCAATGGCTGGGTTGCGTGTTGTACGGACCCAGGCTTATCAGTTGGAAACGCCGAGTTCGTTGTGCGACTCTGCCTCCATCGAAGCCCGATTGGCCGAGGTGCGGATGGCGGCGGACCGCGCGCAGTTACAGCTTACCTGTATCTCCCAGGAAAGAGACGCCGACAGGCACGGGCCGAGGAAACGCTCGCCCGTTTGGAGCAGGAGGGAGACGCATATCAAAGACGAGCCCTGGACTTGGAGCATCGGCTGGACCCGTGCCCCCAGCGAGCGCACGACACTAACGTTGAGTTCGGTAGCATACCGGCATGCAGATGCAGAGTGTTCTGAAGATGCAGACCAGCATCGTCCGTAGCCATTTTGGCTCAAGGTGGCGAGGCGGCCGCGCGACCGCGGGTCCACAGGTGCTCGCCCGAGCAGGACCCGCCTCCTTTCCAGCGCATTCTGTGAGCTCCTGCTGGAGCCATCCCGATGCGGTACCTGGCCTCGACACCTCTTTTCTCAGACCGCTGCGATGGGGGGCAAGCGTCGGACTGATAGGAGAAGTGCCACTTCACGAAGTGACTCTCGCAGCTCATCCTCTGCGCGCCGCAGTGCCAGCAGAACGCCAGATGCCCGCCGTGATGTGGCAGGCCGCTCCCAGGATGTAATGGGTAAGCTTGAGACCATCGCAGGCAACATTACCACACTCAGCCAAATGATGATTCAGAACAATGCAGACGTGGCTGACCTCAAATCTTCGGTTGCTGGATCTTTCGCTCGGTGTAGTGAACTATCGGATCAGATCGTGATCATGGGCAA